GGGAAAAAACAAAGCATATTGTACTCTAGAAGAGACAGTTCTGCAATGTAGTTGGCCAGGCACTCTAAGTGCAGGGACGAAGCCTGGAACATAACGAATGACCAGAAATAAGCAAATAAGAATTGATTACTACCATCATAAGTAATTATTTACATATAATGTAAATGAGATGATACCTCGTTAATGCCTTGTGCAGCACGAACAAATCTCCTACAAAGAAGTGAAAAGAAAGTCAACACTGAGCACATCTTAAACTAAAATACTTCTTTCGACGCATATAAATCCATGATCACCTCAAGAAACATTTAGTTGTAGGGGCTGTCATTTCAAACTTCAGATAATTCAGAACAGCAGATTCCATTTGCAAAACCTGTTGGAGGCTTAAACTGCTTAATTATAGTTCAAATGTAAAAACAAATTTCTACTTCATTGAAATAAACAGATACCTCGTCTTTAAAATATGTGTTATCGGTAATGTAGCAAAACTCTTCCACCTGAGGCGCACAAATCTCTTCATACTTGCTGCAAAATACAATCTCATATTATGAATTATGTATGCATTAGATAAATGCACGCATTTTGTGGGGCTTCAAAAGAAAGGGAAAGAGGTGTACACACACATACATGGAGAGAGAGAGAGATAGAGAGAGAGAGAGAGAGATCATGCAGAGTTACAAGTATGAATGAAAAGGGGAAATAGATAAAATCTGAATCTTACGATGCAATCATCATGCAAGCCACACCCAGCAATTGCAACTTTTGCCTATCCATGACATTTCCTGAAAGATAACGATCTATATAGTTCACAGTCAGGTAAAGCGTGTCCGGGATAAGCCTATATTCCTCAGCAACCTGTGGTTCAGTGTGTAGTCAGACACAAGATTCACATTCTGTAAAGATAAAGAATTGTGTTCGGGATTCACGTTGAGCCTAAGGTTGAAGTATTTTCCAAAGATAACAGATTAAGTCCTCAAAATGAAGATATGAACTTGTTACCTCAACAAGCCAATCGATAAGAATCGCTCTCATGCTGGGATTGATATCTCTTTGGACCCTTTCCATGAAGTCAGTAGCAGGCCTTTTCTTTGCCTAAAATTGCACAAAAAACAAAATATAGTCAACAAGATGCAGAGTCACACAACCAATAATCAGCAAGTTTTCATGGAAAAAAGTACTTCCACTACACAACACCATGTATACAGTATCCGGTTTTCTCTAGGCAGAATTTTTGAGAACAATACAGTTGACATCGTAAACGATATAGAGATAGATGGTTAAAGTTACTTCCATTTCAATTAAAATTCATGATACATGTTTCCAAGCACGAATGTTACAAGATTTAAATTTATATGTTTCATTGAGATTCACACCTTTTAAAATAAACTTCACCGTTTGCACATGACCATAAAGGAAAAGTTCTTGCACAATAAAAGTGATACAAATATCCATTCAACCACTATATATGCAACAGTTTTAACGTGCTAACCTGGCACATCAACATGTAACTAATTGCTCAAGAGACTAGGCTAAAACTGAACTTAAAAGAACTACAAAGATAATATCTTGATCTTTTTATGTGTCACGCTTCAATTCTAGTGAAGTGTTTCAACTATGTCAATAAATATTCTAAATGGAAAAATAGAATTTTTACCTCAGATGCTTGCAGGTGCTTGTAAATGTCACAAGCAATGGATGCACATAACTGCGGATCATTTAGATTGCCATCAACATCAACAACCATATCATCAGAGTCCATTGCTGCAAGTATTTCTCGCTTGCATATGTTCCCTGTATATCCCGTGAAAATCAAAATTTAGATACCTACCTATCAAGACAATTAAAGGAACTTTAAAGAGGCAATGAACTACCTGCTACTTCCACGCGTTCTGAAATGCAGAGCTTATGGGATGTATTTCTCTCAATGGAATCAACTGCTGCTATTTCATTATTATCTATGTATTCAACCTCTGGACTATTCAAGGAATCACAGGTAGACATTGATTCATCCATCGAAATTGAAAGACCGTCTGATTGATCTGGAGAAACATCCATACTGCACGGTACAGGCTCAACGCCAATTCTGGAGAGCATTGCATCACTTTTTGGAAAAGCAGAATTTTTACTAGAAGCAACCACACTCGGCTTCAGAAGAGAACCAGGCAGAGTAGGCACTGGGAAGGTTGCATTTGTCGAAGTCGAAGAACGATTCTTGATGCTTACAATTTTTGCAGTGCATGGCACCTACAGTTTTAAACAAATATTCAAATTATAGCATAATACTAGAAGAAAAAGAAGATCAGCATTCGAGTTTGAAGCCAAAATAACAAAAAATAAATTTGTTAAGTGGCACATTTTGATTTATTCAGTTGCAAAACATTTCAAATTGAGGAAGTCTACATTATTACTTCTTTAAAAAATGAATTCAAAACTGTAATCCCAAATTAGAAACGAGAAGCTCTACTTTTAGTGAGAGATGAAAAATAACAGTTCAACAAAGGCATAGCCTTGTATGAATTCACTTTCCCAATCTATAAAGGCTCAAGCATCCACCATGATGTTTGAATATTTATTCAATGTACCATCAATCAAGAAATTTTTTCTAACTTCTATTCAACTGAAAGCTCTAAACTATTCGCACTTTCAACTCATCCTCCCAACAGTTGGAATGCATACAAATACTACGAAAAAAAGTAATCAAGACATTTTGTATCGTCGGCCTATTGAGCTTAATTTCTTTGATCCTTAAGGTGTCTTAAAAATCTCAATGGGACAAATATTTGCAATACTGAGCAGAAAACATTGACAAGAAACGAAATTACAGTTAAAAAATAAATAATCCCACATTTCCCCAAAAGTATGCTTGTTTTGTGGTGTGTCTGTCTCATACAACAGATATACTATAGAAGAACCCAGGATTAAATCAACTAATTTCCTCTGCAGAACAATGAATTAAAATTTGAAAACCCATTATACACCAGAACTGCGAGAACAAAAAAATCAGGGAAGAAAAAGAAAAATGAAAAAGGGGTTTGGAGGTATGATCTTGTGCATATATGTATACATACACGCCAAAAAGAATTTTTATTATCGCTATGATTTAAAGGGCCTGTTCTTTATGCGTGATTACCATAAAAACGAACTCGCTAAAGAGATCAACAGTTGCACTTACGATTCTTGATGATTCGGTTATGGATTTCCGAACCGGATTGGAAGGCCCAGAACCATGCCGCTGGTTGGTGATGTTCGCTAGCGCCGGTCGTTTCTTGGCCGCATGCTGAGACGGCAAAGCGGAAGCCGCCGTAGCTCCCTTCCCAAAATTCTCTGATCCCGACGACGATGACGCATGCCGCTTTGCCAGTGATGACGCCGTGGCTGTCGTAGACCTCCTACCCCCACCACCAGCACTCGCCATTATTTTTTTCAAACAATGGCAAGAACTGAAACTTTGAATCGAAAAACAGGCTTTAGAAAGGATTTTTCAAGAACCCTACTGGAATTTCACGCTAAAGGCGTTGAAAATTTGAAATTAACATCCATTCTTAGAAATGGATTATCTAGAAATTACAATGGTGAGAGCACTCGAAATTTGAGGGGGGAAATTGGATTATAAAAGGAATTTTCAAAACCCTAGCAAAATTTTACGCTTTAGGGTTTTAAAAATTTCAACCTCCATTCATGGATTTCTATAGAAATAGAAAGTGAAGAAGAATGGGGTTAATGGGTGCATTTGAGGCGGGGAAAAAGGGTTGATTTGTGTTGAGGAAGATCTGGACCGTTGATTGAGTTTGGGTATTCGTTAGAGATGGGGCCCACAGGAGCTGTCTGTTTGAATTCGGGTGTTATGTGGTGACCAGTGATTTAGTGAACGACCAATCAGAAATGAGTAAATTTAAATTGTGATTGGCTTGGCGAGTTATAATTGGTGGTTGAGAGAAAGTAGCTGTTGTTTTAGTTGTGCTTAGAATTTGAATTCGAATTCGAATTCGAATTTGAACCAGAACGGATCTTTTGCTGCATTGGAAAGGCAGAAGACAAGCACGTTGTCCGAGCATGCAAAAATGACAAAATTAAGTGAAGATTACGCAAGTAGAAAAGAAGTACTTATTTGAATGCATAAGGAGCTTAACTTTCAAATTTCAACTTTTTAAAAGCAATTTATGATTTCTAAATTACGATTATGCAAGATAATAATTATTAAAAGATCGTTACAAGAAAACCGGAGGAGGAAAACTTTGCCCCCGTTTGGCATCCATTTTTTGGGAAAAATTCATTTTTAAACAGTGCATTTATCATTAAAAAATAGAAGCATTCAATTGCTGTGTCATAGCACAGATTCCCTTCAAATGACCGTTGAATTACACTTACCAATTTTGGCCTCAAATTAATTTGCAATAGTACACAATATAAGGGCATTTCTGGAATTTGATCTAAATAATTGTATCAGCTTTTGTACCCAAAACCGTGTTGGGAACGGATCCCAGCAGAGTCTGACATGTTGAAAGACACTGGGGCCCACACATAATGCAAGTTCCTGTTCAAAAATGGGAAAAAACGGGTGCCAAACGGGGGCTTAGTAATAGACAAGCACGTGCATCACGTTATTCTTGTTAGAATGAGTGAATTTACATTACTAAAATTGCAAATTGAAGCGCAAAGCTCTTCAATAGAATCTTCTGTCTATGTTTGGCTTCGGTTTATGCACCGTTAATAAACACTTAACTCACTTTTTATTCATATATTTCGAGAAACCAACAAGTAGTACCAATTTATTAATCACTTATTTTAGTCTATTTATAACTTGAGCCATTTATAAGCACTTCTCAAATTAATGATCCTCCTATCCTAAACTCTAAAATAGAACTCGGCATTAAAATTGAATATGAATTCTTTTGATAATTTACTGTATTTAAATTACTTAGGGGGTGTTTGATGAATATTATTGAGGAAATAATGTATTTTAAATAGTGATATGATGAGAAATATGAGGTTAAAAAGTAAGAAAAATCATTGATGTGATGAAAAATGTGGTTGAAAATGAGTTTTGTAAGAATGTGTTTTGAAAAATGTGTGTCAAGCAGGGTATTAAAGGTAATTATTTTCGTAAACATAAATTTAGAGCATGTTTGGCTAAACTTAAAATTCAATTAAAATTGAAAATATAGCCGTTATTGGGTCTCACTCGTCTAATAAAAGTCAACAATGACGGCTAATTTTTCAATTTTAATCCGATTTTAATCTTTACCAAACACGCATTTACCTCTAAGAACACAACCCCAAGCGTGCATACTAAGCCCCTGTTTCGTCTAGACTAAAATCTGATTTTAATCCAAGTTAAAGTCAAATAATCAATATCAACCATATCTTTCATGGGTCTCATAACTTTTCAACCACACATTTCAAAAACTTCTTTCACAATCGACTAAAAATTTAATTTTAATTTCCACCAAACACCCTCTAAAAAAGTAAAGTTACAATTTTACTTAAAAGTAACTATAAAATTTTTATATGAGCTTATTTAGACATGGTCTATGCATGGGACGATGCATGAGGGAAATTGCTACTGGTACATCAAGGTATCCATAATTACTGACGTGGCGAGATTTTGGCTCGTTGAATTTTTTTTTTTTTTTTTAAAGCCAAAAATCCCAAAATTAAAACCCTCGTTTCTTTACATTGCCCTTTTCAAATTTCCCTCTTCGAAGACGACTGGAAAGAGGGAAGCTCTTAAACAACTCTCAACCCAGTAGCACGGAATTTTGCAGTACCGACGCCGGTGAATGAGAAGCCGTCCAACAACGATCAAACAGGTAGCTAGTTTCTTCCAGTAGCACTCGGATCTATAGTTTCTTCCAGTAGCAGTGCATTTTTTGGAGGCTTTCCAGTATAGACGGCAATGAAGGCGATGGCGAGGACGGCAACAATGGAGAAACAGAACAGGCGTGCGACAACATGGTGGAAGGCGATGCTAACAGTGGTAAAATTTACTGCCTTTTCAATTGGAATGCAATATTTTGAATAGAAATGAAATTTCGGCTAATTAAATGTGTGGAAATGATCTGCATCTTTCCTTAAGCTTATTAGTCATGGAAAAAATAAATCTGAACTGTTTACTTGCTTGCTTACAGGAATGGAGGTGTACTCATTGGAGGTTGTGGGTGATGATTGTTTGCCTGATGATATGTTAGGAGTTGAAAATGAGATTATAGTTCCGAAGGTTGGTATGAAATTTGACAACGAGAAGGGGTTATTTGAATTCTATAAGAAATACGATTATGAAATAAGGTTTCTGTTAGAAAAAAAAAACACTAAGAAGGGCGATGATGGGGTCGTTCGATATGTGACTTTTACTTGTAGTCGAAAAGGTCGACGAAAGATTAGTAAGAGTACTTCTTTGAAGCCTCCACCAACGATTGAAACGGGTGCAAAGCCAGGTTGACAGCATGTTCTGATGTTCGTGGAATATGCCGAATAAATATTGTCGAGTTGGAACATAACCATAAGACAATCCCATCTAAATCTAGGTTGTATTGATGCAATGTGAACTTAGTGCACATGTTAAAAGACAGATTGAGGTCAATGATATAGCGGGAATCCCATTGCATAAAAGCTATAACTCAACTGTAGTGGAGGCGGGTGGATTTGAGAACATGACTTGTGTTGAGAAAGACTGTAGGAATTTCGTTGATAAAGTACGGCGTCTAAGACTTGGTGAAGGAGATGCTGCTGCATTACAAGCTTACTTTTCGAAAATGCAAACATGCAGTCCTGGTTTTTATTTCAGTATGGACTTGGATGAGGATTCTCGGTTGAGGAATGTGTTTTGGGCGGACAACAGATGTAGACAAGCATATAAGGAATTCGGTGATGTAGTGACTTTTGACACTACCTACCTAACAAACAAGTACGATATGCCTTTCGCTCCATTCGTTGGGGTGAATCACCACGGGCAATCAACTTTATTTGGTTATGGATTGGTTTCGAACGAAGACGCACATACATTTATTTGGTTATTCATGACATGGCTTGAGTGCATGCATGGTCAAGCTCCTAGTGGTATAATTACAGATCAAGATCGTGCTATGCAAAATGCTATTGAAGTTGTTTTCCCCGAGAGTAAGCATAGGTGGTGCTTGTGGCATATTCTAAAGAAGTTGCCTGAGAAGTTCGGCGGTCATCGTGAAAAAGGTGCAATACTTTATGCCATACACGGTTTAGTATATGACACATTAGATTGTGAGGAATTTGAAGAGGGCTGGGTGAACATGCTTGAACGTTTACATTTGCAAGATAATGTTTGGTTGAGCGGACTTTATGACAACCGAAGTCGTTGGGTACCATGCTACTTGAGAACTACGTTTTGGTTAGTACTCCTGAGCAGTTGAGATATGAGAAGTTGTGTGCTGCTTTAACCAAGATGGCGGACTTGGTTGCAGCTGATGAAGAACGTTCAAAGCAGCTTATGGGGTGGATAGAATTGCAAACTAATGAGTTGTTAAATGCAAAAAGTAATCGCTTGGCATCCCATGGAATTGGAGGAGGCAACATTGA